CCCACTGCACGCCTTCCCCCTCCCTCCCCGAACCTCCTCCCGGACCTCCCCTATCTTTCCCGCTAGTCTCCATCCCAACCCCGTATCCCCTATCTTTCCCCTATCTTTCCCGCCAGTCTCCATCCCAACCCCGCATCCCCTATCTTTCCCCTATCTTTCCCGCCAGTCTCCATCCCAACCCCCCATCTTTCCCGACCCGCCGGTCTCCATCCCTCACTCCCTGAGCCTCCTTCCTCCCACTGCGTACCTCCCCTGTCCCTCCCCGAACCTCCTCCAGAAGCTCCCGCTGTCGAAGAAAGGACAAAGCCGAAAGAAAGGACAAACCCGGAAGAGAGAGAGAGAGAGAGAGAGAGAGAGAGAGAGAGAGAGAGAGAGAGAGAGAGACTGACCTGCTTCTTGGACGTTGGCGGCGGCTGGCTGGTTCGTCGGCGAGGGCTGGACGTGGATGGCTGCAGGGCTGCAGGGGGGACGTGGATGGCGGCTTCCTCGTGGATGGCTGCGGGGCTGCAGGGGGGACGTGGATGGCGGCTTCCTCGTGGATGGCTGCAGGGCTGAGGGGGGATGTGACGGGCAGCAGACAGCGCGCCCGCGAGATTCAAAAACGGCCAGTTTGAAAGTGCTGGCCCTGCCTCCCGCCACCCCACCTGAGTCTGCACAGACTGTGGTGGGTCCAGCCTTCGACCAATGTCCGGTAGGGTGAAAAGACACACAAAAATCGGCCCAGTATTTTTCTGGGGCCGCCGAGGACCCGAATAATGTCCTTGACGACCCCTTTTTTTTTCCTGATTTTTCGTTGGGGGGCCCGGTTCCAGACGTCCAGGACCGGACACCGGACCTCTACATAATGTTTGGGGGTGTCTGGGAACCGGTCCAGACGTCCGGTCGGTTACCATGATAGTGACCCATAACCGAGACGCACAGACCTGAATTCGAATCCAGACTATATATTCTCTGCCCACCCTCACGGAGTACAAGTTTGAAGTGTATCTCTGCATGACGTCGGGTCCTAGCTAATATGCTGTAGGGATGGACACAACTAGGACGTTTCTATTTTTCTACTTTTTTAATGCGCCGCATCACTTGTGCGTGCGTGCGTGCGTGCGCGTGCAGCACCCCCGCGCATGAGATGGGCCGCAAGTATGATTCGAACACATCTCTCTCTCTCTCGCAGCACCCCCGCGCATGAGATGGGCCGCAAGTATGATTCGAACACATCTCTCTCTCTCTCTCTCTCTCACACACACACACACACACACACACACACACACACACACACACACACACACACAAAGGGGGTCCGAAATCCCCCGACAGGTGAGTGCGCTGGGGGGCCCCGGCCCCCAACCGGGTGCCCTGCCCCGCCAGGCCGCCCGGGGCCTCCCCCGGGCCCCTGCCGGTCACACGGGCGGCCCGGATCCCCACTCAGGATAAAATGACAATCCGACATTGTGCAGTGGGCGTCCACAGTTGCAGTCTGACTCTGAGTTCTCCACATTTTCTGGAGAAAATGCTGCCAGTTGGCCAATTTGCTGACATTCCCAAATGTCTGTTTGGTGTGTTCACTGTGTTGTCTGTCTTAGAGCCCTCGCTGATGCTTGCTGGGTCTCAGATTGAGCATGTGTGTGTGTGTGTGTGTTAACTCTGTTCTCGTGCTATATTTCTGCATCCCAGATGCATCCCAGGAGGGGTAAGAGTTCCATAAAACAATGAATAGGTGTAGTTGCAGGGGCAGGAATGAAATCTGGAGATGGACGGACAGAGGAATTCTTGGACACAAAGGGACAAAAGTAGAATTTGCTGGGGACCTGGTAGGGATATACCACTTACTCAGGGAGGGCCGAGGTCCCATAGGCTAGCAGGTAGAGTTGTGATTGTACCGGCCTGTATGTAGGCAGCAGTAGGTTTAGGTACGGGTCAGCGGGTAGGATTACAGTCCACAATGATGTTCCTGCCAAAAGCAGTGAGCTGGTTGACCAGGTAGCACACCTGGCAGGTCCAGGAATAGGCCGACTGATGTCACAAGAGGCTGGAGGCAAGAGCAGTCATTTGGTGCAATGACTGGCCGTGGTATTCACCAAGCAACAGGAAGAGCGGGGACATTCTTTTTTTCCTTCTTCTTCTTCTTCTTCGGTGCAATGAATGGCCGTGGTATTCACCCAGTCGTAGGAAAAGCGGGGAAATTCCTTCTTCTTCTTCTTCGGTGCAATGAGTGGCTGTGGTATTCACCCAGCCGTAGGAAAAGCGGGGAAATTCTTCTTCTTCCTCCTCTTCTTTTTCTTCTTCTTCTTCTTCTTCGGGGCAATGCGTAGCCGTGGTATTCACCCAGCAGTAGGAAGAGCGGGGAAATTCTTCTCCTTCTTCGGCTTCTTCTCCTCCTCCTCCTCCACCTTCTTCTTCTTCGTCTTCTTCTCTTCCTCGTTCTCATTATCTCGTGGCCTAACTCCACTTCCTCTTGAGATGCGATGTATGGCACTGCCTCAAAGTTGAGCCTTGCATTGTGGATTTAGCAGGATTATAGAATGAGTAATGTTAGACACAGAGATCGATGGAATAGAGTGCATAGCCAACTGACCACATATGTCGAAATGCCTGGAATTTCAGTGACGTCAACGCCTGCATTTACAAGGGGTTTGACGGAGACATCTAAATTTGGACGTTCGACAAAGCACACCCTCATCCTCTCAATGAATGGGAATCCTGGCAAAAACTTCAGCCCTACAAGAACCTGCACACAAAACACACAGGGCAGCACAATGTGACGGATTATATTGTTATTCTCAAAACAATCAATGCTGTATTGTAACCTTCTTTCACCCCAATCTAACCCCTGACTTCATGGGCCGAGACAGGTTACCAGGCTCAAAGGAGAAATGAGCTGCAAGTGCTCTTTCATAAGAGCTATCAACTAGAGGGAGCCTCCGTGAGCCGGGTGTGAGTTGGGTGTAAGTTGGGTGGGAGTTGGCTGGGAGTTAGGAGTTGAGTTGGTTGGGAGTTGAGACCTGGAAGAAAGCAGACAGGAGGGCTATGTAAAAAAGTTAAAAAAACTGGTATTGATTACTTTGCTGGTTATCCTGCGAGCTTGCCGAGGATTGCTCAGCCGTACAGACCGTTCACAATAGCAAATGACAAAGAAGTGGAGTGGATGGCCTGCCACTCCGCATTGAGCTCTGCGCCCACACAACACAAACTTAGTGATGCCTTCCAGCCACTCTGAATTGAACTCTGCAGCACCACAACACGAACGTAGTGATGCCTTTGTCAGCCTGAGGAGGCAAAGGGGGAGAAGGGAGGAGAGAGGAAGGGATTCTTCTAGTTATAGTTCCTTGTCTCATAGGTACTCCAGCATTCTGCAGTACCACAACACAAACGTAGTGATGCCTTCCAGCCACACTGCATTGAGCTCTGTGGTACCACAACACAAACATAGTGATGCCTTCCAGCAACTCTGCACTGCGCTACCACAACACAAACGTAGTGATGCCTTCATCAGCCCGGGGAGGCGAGAGGGAGAGAAGGTGGGGAGAGGAAGGCATCATTGTTTGTAGTTATAGCTCCTTGTCTTGTAGGTACCACGGCATTGATCCTTGTTTGTCAGCAAGTCAGAACACGAAATTACTCTTTATGCTTCTCCCCTCTTCAATTCATAGAGTATTAGGGACTCATACAGATTCATAGCCGATTGAACCAACTAGTACAACCTGCACATCCCAGTACTTGGATCAGCTAATTTTGCTCTTGTTTTAAAGTTATTTTCCTTCTTGCAGTGTCCTCCTGGACATGCTTGTGGAAATCGTCACATCGCCGTGAATGCCTCTGCGATGTGCTCCGTCCTGATTTACCCTTTGTTTTCTGCCCTGCTTTAAAGCTGGTCTCTCATATGTTTCTACAGCAGCATATACACAGTTCCTAGAGATGGTTTCTCACCTGAATAGAATGCCCGGTCATTATCGCTGTATCTAGACTGAAAACTGCCCCAAATACAGCTATGATCACCAGGGGCTCTATTCAGGTGAAGATGGTACCTGAAATCTCCCTACCAGAAGGCTCATCCATCGTTCCATACCAGAAGCCAAGTAAATTCCTCACTCTATGAATACAACTCACTTTTCCCTCCAGATGCAGATCCGAAGCATATGCAGTTGCCCAAACACCCAAGCCCACTCTCTTGCGCACTCTTGCTTGAAGCTCTGCTACCATGTCATCAGCAGCAAGGAACTCCACAACCATTTCCACAACCTGCAAAACAGTCCAGAGACACAACCGGTAGCCATAACAGTAGTTGGCAGATGCACACATTCACATTCAGTACCCCATCTACAGAGTTACAGGCTTGGAAGCGACGGCATACACACGCTAAGGACTTTCCTGGATGTGTTAGACAACCTGTTGTGGCTTCACCCGCAAAAACAAAAGGATATAAGCAAATTCATGGGCAGTTTCTCATGGGCGAAAGAATTGTTGTTTCATTCAGGAAAAAGACGTGAAACAAAGCCACATGCCAAAAGCCATAAGTGGACACATGAGCATTTGCTCAAACCAATTTTCTTTTTCTGGAGTAGAACTCTTTCCGGGGATGGCAGCAGACAGACCATCCTCCGCACAATGTGGCAGGCACTGGCCTCCTCTCTCTCTCTCTCTCTCTCTCTCTCTCTCTGTGTGTGTGTGTGTGTGTGTGTGTGTGTGTGTGTGTGTGTGTGTGTATGTGTGTGT